TCTCTCTCTCTCTCTCTCTCTCTCTCTCTCTCTCTCTCTCTCTCTCTCTCTCTCTCTCTCTTATTCTAACAAAAACAAAACAAAACAAAAACAAATAATCAATCAATCAATCAATCAATCCAATCAATAGATTGATTGATTGATTGATGACTGTGTGTGTGTGACTGTGTGTGTGACTCTGTGTGTGACTCTGTGTGTGTGTATGTGTGAGGTCTCTCTCTCTCTCTCTCTCTCTCTCTCTCTCTCTCTCTCTCTCTCTCTCTCTCTCTCTCTCTTCAATCAAAAACAAAACAAAACAAAAACTAGTAATCAATGAATCAATGAATCAATCCATCAATCCAATGAATATATTGATTGATTGATTGATTGATTAATAGGGCGCCTGCGCCGTTCACAAGAGATAGCTACATTGGGTTATGCTGTAGTCAACCCATGTTCCCGTTCCGTTTCATTCTCAAATGGATGCTTGCTCGGTTCCATTGTGCTATCTGCTCTGGCTTTGACTACTTGGACTTCAGTCTCATTTTGCAATATGGATTTATGTGCTTTGTCCATATTCATGTTCCTTGCATTTATCCAAGAATCAATCAATCAATCAATCAATCAATCAATGAACTGGGTCAATCAATAGACTGTTTGATTGATTGGTTGATTGCTTGATTCAATGATTGATTGATTGATTGATTGATTGATTGATCTGTGTGCGTTGTTTCTGTGCTCTCTCTCTCTCTCTCTCTCTCTCTCTCTCTCTCTCTCTCTCTCTCTCTCTCTCTCTCTCTCTCTCTATTTATCTATCTATCTATCTATCTATCATTTTGCAATCTGGATATATGTGCTTCGTCCATATTAATGTTCCTTGCATCAATCAATCAACCAATCAATCAATCAATCAATCAATCAACCGATTAATCAATCAATCAATCAATCAATCAAGCCTTCTATGAATGAACTGATTGATTGATTGGTTGATTGGTTGATTGCTTGCTTGCTTGCTTGATTGATTGATTGATCTGTGCGCGTTTCTGTGCTCTCTCTCTCTCTCTCTCTTTCTCTCTGTCTCCAGGAAAAAAATAAAATAAAAAAAATCAATCAATCAATCATTCAATCAATCAATCAATCAATAGACTGTGTCATTGATTGGTTGATTGGTTGATTGATTAATTGATTGATTGATTGATTGATTGATTGATTGATTGATCCGGGCTGGCTGAGGGCGCAGGGGAGGTGAGGGCGAAGGTGCTTCGTCGGAGGTGATGGCCACGTCCGTGGGTAACATTGGAGAGTGTCGGTGAAGAGGACACGTACCTGGTGGAGGTAGAAGTGGGCATTGGTGTTCACATCATCACTCGCTGGTAGTGAAGTTGTCTGGTTGCTTTCATTACTGTAGTTGTAGGTTTAGGCTGTAGAGTAGACAGGGCGCCTTGCGCCGTTCACAAG